GGATTACAATTAAACAATACTAGATCTGGACAGCACTTCTGTTTACAGACAATTTAATTGCATTAGTTTTTGTAAATTAACTTGTTTAGCCACACATGCGTACAATGTAAAACTATCTTAACCCTGTAAACTTCCTCACTTTCAGGGACCATGGTTTTCTTTGGCCCTCCTGTTTGCTTGTGCAGCTTTTGTTTCTGTGCCTTGTCCTGACTGTTCTCATTCCCAGCTAGAACCCAGTCCCTGCTGACTTTGTTGGAGGTTGGTTTGTCAAAACAGAGAGGAGTTGCTCAACATGCTCAGATAGCAAGCGTGAGGCGGCAGTAATTTGGCCGTGTCCCTCGCTGAGCTCATATGTTTGGGCTGTCATTGTTCCTCCGCAGTCCTTTTAGTTACGGTTGGCTTGATGCTTTCCTGTGTCCTCGTCAGACACCGGGTTAATCGCACCCCTGCGGAGGAAGTTCCTATCTCCACTGACTGAATCATCTAATTTAGCTTCCCAGTCTCTCAAGATGTATTTATGTGAAAACGATTATAATTTACAAGCAAAGGCTATAAGTTGAACAAAGTTTGTTTAATCATGTGTGGCTTCACTGTCTGTTTTATCATTGTTATGAAGAGCTTGTTTAATTTGTATTACATATTGTGTATGTCCAGCAGATATTGGAAAACAGTTGTATCTCAGTTTGCATACTTCTTTCTTTAAATATCAGAATTAGATTTGGCAAAATGGTTTTACTCCAACAAAGGTCAAAACAGAGTTTGTTAAAGTAAATTGTGTCTTTTATCAGCCAGACACATAATTGGTTTACAGTGGCCTAACTGTACATCAGTCACTGTTTCCAGATACTTCTAAAGGTATGTGGATCAAAGTCTATTTTAGAAGCATCCATGGAATCAAATTAGCTCACGAGGTTACTTGATTTTCCCCACTGGGTAAAAAGATCTGATAACATTACACAAAATAAGTTGACACGCTTTGTCAAATGTGTTTGTGTGTGTGTGTGTGTGCGTGTGTGTGTTTATATTGTACAATCCCAATGATCTTGGCTGTTATCGAACTTAAAAATGCACAATTATCAACAAAGTTGTCCTCATATTTATTTGTAAACATCAGCAAAAGTTATTACAATTTTGCATCATCAAAATGTCTAAATAACTGAGCACAAAATGATAAAAGGCACTATTAGTCTTTTTTGATATGTTGGTTACAGAAATAGTTCACCAGACATGTTGAGAAAGCACTTTTGATAAACAGAATAAACTGACCGCACAAGTTTCATTCACCAGGTGTTAAAAATTTACATTCCACTGTCCACAGTGGAACAGTGATTTGTTGTTAATTTAAACGTATAGACATTTCACTACAATCTGCTCAGTTCATCAGATATCCAACAGTTAATGCAAAATCTTTAAACAAAGATATCACATGAACTGTTAGCCATCAGAGTATGTTCTTACGACGAGCCTTAGCTACTATCATCAGAAGGATTAGCACAACATCAATACTGGGTTAAAACCATGCTTATGTTTAAGGTTGATCAACTGGTGGTATTTCAAACTCCAAACATTAATTAGCTCAAACATTGAATGATTACTTTAAGAGTTGCAATAATTTTCGCCCACTGGTTCATGGGACATTTTGTTGATTTGACAAACACAAACATGCCATTACACAACTGGCTATACAATAATAATGAAATAGTCTAGACAAAATTTACAAAGGCACAGTACACTCTATACCTAGGTTCCTCTTCTTGCAGCTGCTCCTTTCTGCAGGGGTCACCTCTTCCTGGGCTTGAACCCACACCCGAGATTAAAACACACTGCATACCCCGGTTAATTAATAAACATTCAGTGTTTAAACTGTGTAGTTCTACACACATACACTTTCAAGTCAAGAAAACATTTTTACAAAAAAAATTACATTATTTAACTTTATCAAAAAAAAGAAAACCTATGCAATCCTTAGAAAAGAAATGAGTGCTCATAAATGTATTCATCTTTTAGACCAATTCAAATTTGCTACAGACTGGTTTATCAAACATATAAAAAACATGTTTGATTTGTTATTTAAAGTAAACTGAAGTACCTACATAAAGTAATTACTGGGCCGGAGTGTGCCCTGGTGCCTGGCTCTGGGCTGGGGGCCTCTGGTGCGCTGGTGGTCTGCGGTTCTGCGGTTCTCATGGGCTGGGGGTAGGGTTGGCTGGGGGCGTGACATAGGGCTAGTTGGGGGGTGGGGGTGTACCCAGCCTGGGTGTCTTTGTGTTATATGTTCTGATAGTGGCCCGAATGTTGGGGTGGGTGTAGTATGTCTTCTGGGGTGGGGATTGGATTGGTGGCCTTTGGTGGTRGCTGGGGGCCGTGCTGGGCTGGCTGGTTGGCCCCTTTGCTGTGGCGGGGGCCCGCCCTGGGCGCCCCCTTGCTCTGTTGGCGGTTGGGTGGGCGCTCTTGGCCGGGTCGTCCTTGCTGGGGAACGGTGGCCTCTTTGGGCTATGGGGCTGGGATCGGGTTTTGGGGGTCTGGGTGGCTCTGGTGGGGGTGGAGTGTTGGTCCCGGTTTCTGGTGGCCTTAGGGGCTCCGTCAGTCCACGGTCTGGGGTTCCGTGGGCTTGGCGGTTTGCCTGGAGGGAGAGGTATTTGGGCTGCTCTTCCTGGGTGGGTTTCGGGGAACGGGAGGGCTTACTGGGCCCAGCGGGGGAGCTGACTCCCCGTGGGAGCATTTTGCATTTTGCTCCTTCAGCTTATTCTCCCCATCCCTCACCGCACACGTCCATCCTCTTCACTTTCAACTTCACCCATGTAGAGTTTTTTTGGACATCTTAGACATTCACTCATAACATTTTCATGAAATTCACATATAGGAACTTAAGGTGGGCACTCATGGCTATAAGTGGCCCGATGGCACCACTCTTGCCTCCTGTGCCCAACCCCCAAGGTTTGCATAAACACACTTAGGGTTTTGGGTTAGAGTAGTGGTGGAGGGGAAACTGGCACCACGCCGGCCTCTGCCTCTTCTTCTTTCCCTTTTTAATTACTCTATAGAACAACACACATCAACAGTACATCTGGGGGTGGGGGTGTGGGTGTCAGGGTCTTTACTCCCATCCCATTCCCCGACTGCCATTTGGGGAGGGGGTCCTGAAGAAGGGCGGGCCGCCGGGTGCGGTCCTGGGCTGTGTGTGGGCTCGGGGCTTGGACAGTTGCCGGGGGCAGGACTGGCTCTCCATCCTCCCTGGTGCTGCTTGGTCTCCTGAGGAGTGGCTCTTGGTTCCTGTGGGTGACCCCCTGGCCGGGGTGGCTGCCGGGTTCTGGGGGGTGGTCGGCTGGGGGGGTGCACTTGGCCGTTGGCGGTGTAGTGGGGTGGTCATGGGCGTGGCTTCTCTGCGGCAGGGGGCTGGCCGGGCGTCCTGGTGTGGCCCGGGCCGGGCCTTGGCCATCTGCTCCTCTCCACCTCACAATGATTGGGTCTACCTCCTGGGTTCGGGTGTGTGCGGCCTCCAATAGGGGGTGGATGCATGTCCTGGACCTGGGGGGTATAGAGTGTGTATCGGGTGTATGAGTGGAATGTGGCGTCCTTGTATGTCTTTGACTGAGTGGGGGTGAGGATGAGGGTGGGATGGTGCAATTGTGTATGTGTATGTTTGGGTATTTGTCAGGCTGGGGTCTGGGCTGCCCCTCCTGCTGGTTTATCTGGGGGCCCGCTGCTACTCGGCCCCCGGTGGGGTGTGCGGCTGGTCACCGGCATGCTGGGGGTTCCCGGGGTCTGGGGCTGGGCACTGGGGTGTGTGCCGACCTGGCCTGGTGACTGCCTGCTGGGGCTCGGGGCCTCTGGCCCTGTCGGGCTTTGGCCTGTGGGGGGTGCGCCCTGGGAGCCCAGACCTCTGTGCCCTCTCCTGGATCTGCTCTGGTGTGGCGGGTGCCAGTGGGGCCCATGAGTTTGTCGCTGCTGGCCCCGGGAGCTGTGCGTGTGGTTGCTGGGGGGACTCTCCCAGTTCTCCCCTATAGTCTGATCTGGGGGGTGGGTGGGTGGATCTTCCCGTGTGGGTGCCCCTTGGGGCTTTGCGCTCGGGATCCCTCTCGGGCCCTTGGGCTCTGGTCTTCCCTATGTCTGCCTCGTGTCTTGGGGGTTGGGTCTCCGATCCTCCACAGTCACTATTAAATATTCCATTGGAGAAATCTTGTATACTGTATATACACGCATGTTCACAACTGCTCATAGACAGGTGTTCTGATCCAGGGGGTTCTGACTGGTCACTGAGTGTGTATATATGTCTGTGTGTATATACTGAAAATATTTATGAATGTAGGCATGTATGTATGTATATCTTTATATATGTATGGGTATGTGTATGTATTTATATATGTCATCCATGTATTTATCCATTTATTTTTCAGGTGAGCGGACAGATGTTGGGTGTGTGGTCCTGTGTTGTCTTGGTGTATATTTAATATACTTCTAATCTCTATTTCAATCTTTCTAATTACTTCTCCCTCTGTTTTTCTCTCTCTCTCTATTTTCTCTTCACTCTAAAAAAAAGTAACTGATGATGAAGAAATAAATAAACTAATGATTTTTAGTTTCGTTTTCTACTGAAATGACAAAAGAAAAATAAAATTAGTATAGATAAACAACTATTTTAGGTTACAGCGAAAAAACAAACAATTTTAATTCCCACAAAGATACCAGCTTACATCTTGGCTTTTAGTGGGGTGATTTGGAGTGACTGCAGGAAGGCCTCCAGGGTGTTCAGATACTCCTGCGGGTGTTTCTTTAGGTGCCCTGCATGGGTCGATGTCTCCCACTTCTTCGCTGTAACCTCTATCCCATGCTTCTGCCAGTAGTCAGCCAGCTTCTCCACTGTTTGTGCGTCACTCAGCAGATCGTTCTCGCAAAAGAAGAACAGCGATGGGGCTGTGACTGGAGTGTTCCAAAACACATCGATGCTCGAGTTGAAATAGTCCACCGTTTGGCGTTTGAAAACGCTGAAGTATAGCAGGCTTAACTGTTTGACCAGCGTGTCCCAACGAGGAAACATAGTTTTACCCAGGCCTAAATAGAGAGAACACATTTTATTTACCTGCAGTGGGAAAAGATTGTACTTCTACATACACCAATCCATGCATATATTAATACACATACTGGCTCACCTATGGCCATGTGCTCCAGTGACCCCACTACCAAGCTGTCATAGACTTGACCTCTGATCCGATTTGTCACTGCCTGGTACTTCTGTTTGTCCTCAGTAATGTGGACCAGAAGCTGAGCGAAAGTATAACCCCCGATAGAGAAGGCGTGAACAAGCAGGGGGCGGGTCACGAAGCTTTCGCTCTGGAGCAACTCCAGCAAGACTTTCCCACGATCCAGACCCCAGCGAGGCCACAGAAAGTCTTTCACCTTGTTAAAAAATAAAAATAAAGTTGAATACACCACCTTATACACTTAATAAAATGTTACCCATCACATCGAAACGAGGATTAAGTCCAAAAGTGGTATACGGAGAAAAAGGCAAATAGTGTTTTGATTAAAATGTTAACAAAAATTGTACTTTGTCAAAATATAATGAATGCCTTATATATGTATCATTTGAATGAACTGTCTGAAATATAATCATAAAACAAAATTTTGAAGCACTTTTTTGATCAGTAGCAACAAAAAACCTGATTTTGAGGAAAAACACCTTAAAATTTTGAGATTTTCCCTGTGAGCTAGCAAAGTTTTGCTTCTTTTTAGCTGGGAAATCTCAATATTCAAATATAATTTGAGGCTTCCTCTTTATAAGGACATCAAAAATTCCTTATTAAAAAGACATAAAATTAGGAACAGACCAAATATTTATGTATTACTGTAACCAGCAAGACAAATTAAGTCATATGTATGGATTTAATTACGATATCAGAATAGAATTACCTAATCGATACTACCGATATCCGAATTACCTAATTTCCCTCTGGGATCAATAAAGTATTTTTGAATTGAATTGAATGATTCAGGTATCAAAATGTAACTTTTAAAGACAAGAATCTGAAAATGTAATTAGGTCATTTTGACCAAATTTGACTTAATCCTCATTTTGATATGATGGGTCACAAATATCAAACAGATCTAAGTTCAAGTTTATTTATATAGCGCCAAGTCACAACATACGTTGTCTCAGGGCACTGTAGATAAAAAGAATAATCTAAAAAGAAACCAGCAGGCTGCGTTGAATCACTTCATCACAGTCTCCCATCCTGAG